CAGAGAATGGGGTTTGCTTTCAACCAAATGTGGATATTTACCTTTTTCATTAAAAAATGGTTCCCAAACACTGGTTCTCCTGTTGTTTTGAACTTCTGGTCCCTAAAGCTCTAGCCAACTTGTCCAATGGCCCTCCACCTGTAGGACCAAAATTTGGGAGATGGTGGTGGGGTATAAATAAAGTTTATTATTATTATTATGTAAAATAATCCCGAGGAAAGCAGTCAATAAATATTATCGATGCAGGTCTATAGCAGAGCTTTTTGGATGATAGCACCAGGAATCCTCTATTGTTGTAAGGAGTCCCCGGTGATGCAATGGGTTAAACCCTTCTGCTGGCAGGACTGAATACTGACGGATTGCAGGTTCAAATCCGGGGAGAGTGTGGATGAGCTCCCTCTATCAGCTCCGGTTCTCCATGCAGGGACATGAGAAAAGCCTCCCACAAAGATGGTAAAGCATAAAACATCTGGGCATCCCCTGGGCAACGTCCTTGCAGATGGCCAATTCTCTCACACCAGGAGCGACTTGCAGTTTCTCAAGTCGCACCTGACATGACAAAAAAAAAGCTATTGTTGCAAAAAAAGTAAAATTCTAGATATGAATTAAATATGAGAAATTTTGGAATTATAACGCTAGAAATTTGGAAATTGCAGGAAAAATTCATTTTGGAAGGTAAAGTCATCATTTTGTCTCCCCTAGAGCTACATTTCCAGGAAACATGAACGTTATAAAGAAGATTCACCTCTCTGTCTTCTATCCCATCTCTTTTCTTTAATTTAGGGGTTTTGTTGGACTGGAGATCCCATGATCCTTCAGCATTGGTTGTGTTGGCTAGTGGTAATGAAATCTGCAGTCTGGTATCACCCAAGGACAGGCATAATTTGCCTGCACCAGTTTTGTTGGTAATGGTGTTTCTTGTACCTGTGTGTGTTGTTTTAGCAGGCTAGAAAAGTGGGGGTTTTTTTTGCCAAGTCTGATCACTGATTCATTTAGCTTAGTTTTTTCTACATTGACTGAGCATGGCTTTTCCAAGTTTCCAGCAGGACTTTTCCTAGCCCTACTTGGAATTGGTAGGGATAAAACCTCAGTCCCTTTGCTTTGCTCTGTTTTAGGCTACAAACATTTCAGCAGGGAATAAAAATACATTATGTACTGCCCATCTGGGGACTTGCCCACTATAATGCAATATCTGTGGCAAGAAGAAACCAAGCTGCTTTCACTAATTAGTCTATATGGATGGGCATCAGGAAACCTTCTCCTCCCTGGAGGGGAAATTTGAGGAAACTGCAAGCAGGCGTGTCATTTACAACTTCTTCCAAGTCTTGTCACCTCCAAAGGGGTTCTTCCAAGAGAGAAGGTGGAGCTGACAGAAATCATTAATCCCAGGAAAAAACACCTTCAAAGGGTGTGAACTGCTGGGAAGGAAGAAGGAAGGAACCAATTTATTGAGGGCTTCTGCAAAAGCAGATGATTCTTTATGCAGGGGAACACATGAATTTAACTCCAGCAGATAGAATTGAAAGAGTCTCATGTGGAGCCATGTTCTGCCACAAAACCCAAGCTAGAATAAAAGAAAAGCTCTGTGGAAGCCCTGGGCCACTCTGTTCCAGCATTTGGCTTTACCCAGGACCATCCAGAGGTCTTAAGAGAGCTCATGAATCACACGCAAAATCAACTGCCTCTTTCTGGTGTCCAGGCATCTAGTGCTTCTGAGCTTCATTTTAGTGGCCAGCAATAGACCCGTCTTCCAACAACATGCTTTGTCTCTTTTAAAAGCTGTATATTGGGGCAGAGATGAATGATACATCCCTCAGGAGTTATGTGAGGTAATACCTTTATTTGTTTCTACTGACAAAGGTGTGTGTCACCTGTCAATTTATGGTGACTATTAATTTCATGGGCTTTTCTTAAGCAAGGAATACTCAGAGGTAGTTTTGCCACTTCCTTCTTCTGAAATATTGCCAGGGGAACCTGCTATTTCTTATTGGTCTCCCATCCAAGAACTAACAAAGGCTGATCTGGCTTAGCTCTCAAGATTAGAAGGAATCTGGTGATTTTAGGATATGTAGACCTAACGGCAAACCTGTTACACTAGAATTTTGATGCTGTTGGAGAAGAGAAGAAAAAAAACCCTCTATAGTTTTCATATATTTAATAATTTTATGAAATTCTATCAGATTGTCTTCTTGTTTTACTTTTCCGAATTACTGGTAACCTCTTCCTTACCTTCCTTGCATATACCTCACAAGTGCCAGTCCTTTCTTATGGCGAACCTGCTTTGAACAGTTGATTGTTTTGATTCTCTTTTCCATACTTTCCTAGCCATATTAATCTTCCTCTTTTGAGATGGTTGTTCATATTTTATGTAGTATTTCAAATAGGTCTATGCCATGCCATTCATAGGAAATTTAGGTGGAAATCCAAAAGAAATGACTTCCCTGAGGCAGCAGAGGGGGAAAATATTGAGATGCTCAAGGACTCATGATTAATACCAAAATACAATCGAAGAAATAGATCAAGGTAGACCTGTGGAATTTTCATTAGCCTTGAAATGTTGACCTACTTAGAAAAGAGAGATACTGGGAATAGAAAGATAGGAAACTTGTAAATATAAGAAACTGCTTTTCACGGAGTCAAATCATTAGTCTAGTACTGCTCTAATTGGCAGGGCATCTCCAGAATTTCATTTGTATCATAGAATTGGAAGAGACCACAAGGGCCATACAGGCCAACCACCTTCCATGCAAAAACACAGAATCAAAGCACCCTTGGCAGATGGCTATCCGGCCACTGCTTAAAAACTTCCAGAGGAGGAGACTCCACCATGCACCATGGCAACATGTTCCACTGTTGAACAGCTCTTACCATCTTATCAACGATATTTCAAGATCCCTGATGGTTTTTCATCCAGATACGATAAGTCAACCTCAACCTTGTTTAGGTTCTACAAACAGACAAATTCAAGAGTGCTAAGGCTACTGGGAAAGTTAATGGGATCAAATGGTCAGTTGGAGGAGGGCACAGTTATCTGGCTGGTGTCTTGAATGCTGAACAGAAATACTCCTGTTAACAGATGAGGGCACACTGCACATTTTTGTTGCAAGTCTCTGGGTTCTTCCAGACAGCACCAAATCACAGGTTTAATAGGTAAGACAAAAAAAAAAACCCCAACAAAACAAAACACTAGAACCTGAGAGCAGGTCCACACACAGACCTATTGGTGCTGGGAATTGTGCCTGCAACATTTGGACTTGCTGCTTTTTTCCGGGATTTAGAAGCCCACGAGATGGCTGCTGCAGAATGTGCGCCGGAAATTCCAGCAGCTTAATTTTTTTAATGCACTGATGTGAATATGTTCGTATGAGTTTTGTTCCCAGGTTATAAATATCAGTTCCTCATTGGTTCTATCATAGAAACCTGGTGGAAATTGATTACAGGGCAAAAACTTTGTTGTGGCAAGAAAGACATCATCATCCACCCATTTATCAAAGTTTGTGACACACAAAGTTTTTGCCTTGTAATCAACTTTCCCCATGTTTTTACAATAGAAGCAATGAGGAACTGACATTTATAACCCCGGAACATTACTTCGTTCTTCCAGGCACAAATACGCTACCAAACCTTTCCTGACAGGTGGCCATGCAGCCTCTGAATAATTGTAATAATGATGAAATTCTGTTCCTGGTTTGAAAGTGTGAGTTCCTGTTTAATGGTGTAGACCTTACTTTGAAAGTACTTGTACTCCACAAACTTTGTTTGTGTGCCACAAACTTTGATAAATGGGTTGATGGCGATATCCCTCTTGCCATGACAAAGTTTTTGCCATGTAATCAACTTTCCCCAAGCTTTTACAACAGAAGCAATGAGGAACCAACATTTATAACCTTGAAACAAACCAAATCCTGTATTTTCTGAGTGCAGGGACATACAGAGATTCAAAGATCCAAATCTTCTGGCTAGAACCGGGATATTCCCACACTTTTTATCTCACCATTTTTCAGCTTTGTAGCAATTCCTCCCATGTTTTTAGCTGATGTCATGCAGCCACCCCTCATTTTTAACCGTGGATAAAGGTACTGTGTGGGTGGGCCGTCAGTAGTGTATATCATGCCTGACCAAAGACTGACTGATGTCCAGTGGCATAAAGAAGATTATTTTATATTTAACAGGTCCTGCTAGATTGTTTCACCTTAACCTTGTAGTTTAAGAATACATAGGAGATTGGGACAGAGCAGTGGAGTAATCTTTCTATTGGCAATTTGCTTGTACAGGATGGAAGATAGAACATACCTGTGCATTTCACTTTCATTTGTTTGGTTCTGTCCTATCATCTCCTGGTCTCACACAGTACGGATGCATCCCATTCCAGAGGTTCTCTTTTATCTAGTTGCTAGGACCCTCAGTGTCCACATTGTGATGTTATGGGTAGAATTTATTGCTTGGTGGTATTTCACCACATGCCAGATTCTGTTGGAGGATGCAGGAACGCATTAACTGGTTGACTGTGATTTTTCCCCCCTGCTATAGACCACCTTCTATATTGATTACCACCAATAAAGCTAATCTTAGAATAGTGATGTGTTCCTGTTTCCAATACTAAATGAAATCTTCAGGAAACCTGGAATTGAAGCCAGTTCACATTCAGAAAACGTTTCCTTGTAAATTCCAATAACATTATGATATCACCCCATACTAGCTAATATATGGCATTTCTTTACAAAGGTAACACCCACATCAGCAACATTAGCCTCACCCTCACTGAATGGAAAATAGAAGCAGGAAATTCGGTTTTCATTTTGCCTTTCTCTACACAGACTGGATTCATTTACAAGGAGTGATTTAATCTGCTGGAGTATCTCCTTGGCACAAACTCTTGATCTGCATTAATATATTATGTAATTTCTTGGCTCATGTCCTCCCGGTTACACACTTTTTTTACTTCATACATTTCTTGCTGTCTCTGATAACACGTTGTTTATGTTTTATTGTTTCATCAGAAACTGAAACTTCAGAACTTGTTTCCAGAAATGACTTGTTCACAGCACTGAAAGTTACTAGTTGTCCACTTGAATCCTTACTGCCATTAACCACCTCCTCTCTCACTCTGGCGAAGGATGTCGGAAGCCAGCTTTCAATTCCTCACCTTATCAAGGATGATGAATGGAAGGAGAGCAATGGAAGGGTAGGTGATAAGTTTCTCCTTTCCACTTCCAGTGATCGTAATGTATTTTGGAATGATGGTTGAAAGACACTATTTGACCCTTCAGAGTGTTTGTATCCACCACACTTATATGAAGTAGTGAAAAACTCTTGTAAGGACAGCAGGTGTTGATGGTAGAAAATCAATACAGCAAACAAAAAACCTATCTTCCTATTAATTCATCAGAAATACCTCAAAATTGCAAGATCCTCCAAAACCACACTTCTCACAGCTGCAATTTAACTTACCCATGTGTAGGGAAAAAATAGACTCCAGTCTTTTTAGGGCCTCCAATGTGATTCTATGGTATGCTTCCGATTTTATTCTAGAGGTGAACTGGAGGACTTAACAAATGTCCAGAGAGGATACTTCTCTTGGAATATTTAGGTTCTGCACTTCAACTTTATGGAATGCTGGATCTGGGGAGGCCCTGCTCTCGATCCCGCTGGCTTCACAAGCACGCCTGGTGGGGACAAGAGACAGGGCCTTCTCAGTGGTGGCCCCTCGGCTGTGGAACACCCTTCCTACGGACATTAGATCGGCCCCCTCCCTACTGGCATTCCAGAGGAGAGTGAAGACCTGGCTGTTTGAACAGGCATTCAACTAGGCAGTGCAATTGATTTTTGGAACACAGAAAATGGATATGGAGACTTCTCGGCCTTTTGGCTAAGATCAAGTGTAGTATCTGTTCTTATCAGTTTAATATCTGATATGTTCTCTATTTGAGAACTCTATATTAAATGGGATATGGAGACTGGATTCTGATTTTATTGATGAGACGTGATGGATTTGTTAAATTGATGTATTGATGTATTGATGTCTGATGTTTAATCGCTTTGCTTTTAAATGTCCAATGATTTTGTACTGTGTATATTGGAATTGTTGTTAACCGCTCTGAGTCGCCTAAGGGCTGAGAAGAGCGGTATACAAGCGAAGTAAATAAATAAATAAATAAATAATCTAGATGTTATTTATTTTAATGGGATTATGAACTAATGATAACAGTGTGCCATCCAGTAATGTCATTATCATAGGTTATCACTCATGGCCGAATATGTTTGTCTTCCTTCAGTAGATATGAGGGTCTTACTGTACATTGGATTTGATTGGGATACTTGACATTATAATTGGATAGCATGTATAGTTCAACCAATCAGTTTAAGCTTTTAATGTCATCCTTTGGCCCAAAATTCTCCAGAGTAGCTAACTTAGAAATGCAAGGCTGGGGTGAAAATTGCTGGAAGAAACATTAACAACCTTAGATATGCAGATGACACCACTTTGATGGCCGAAAGCGAGGAGGAGCTGAGGAGCCTTCTAATCAAGGTGAAAGAAGAAAGCGCAAAAGCTGGGTTGCAGCTAAACATTAAAAAAAAACCCAAGATTATGGCAACAAGAATGATTGACAACTGGGAAATAGAGGGAGAAAACGTGGAGGCAGTGACAGACTTTGTATTTCTAGGTGCAAAGATTACTGCAGACGCAGACTGCAGCCAGGAAATCAGGAGACGCTTACTTCTTGGGAGGAGAGCAATGACCAATCTTGATAAAATAGTGAAGAGTAGAGACATCACACTGGCAACAAAGATCCACATAGTTAAAGCAATGGTATTCCCCATAGTCACCTACGGATGTGAGAGCTGGACCATAGAGAAGGCTGAGTGAAGGAAGATAGATGCTTTTGAACTGTGGTGCTGGAGGAAAGTTCTGAGAGTGCCTTGGACAGCGAGAAGATTCAACCAGTCCATACTTCAAGAAATAAAGCCTGACTGCTCATTGGAGGGAAGGATAGTAGAGGCAAAGATGAAGTACTTTGGCCACATCATGAGAAGAAAGGAAAGCCTAGAGAAGACAATGATGCTGGGGAAAATGGAAGGAAAAAGGAAGAGGGGCTGACCAAGGGCAAGATGGATGGATGGTATTCTTGAAGTGACTGGATTGACCTTGAAGGAGCTGGGGGTGGTGACGACTGACAGGGAGCTCTGGCATGGGCTGGTCCATGAAGTCACGAAGAGTCGGAAACGACTGAACGAATGAACAACAACAGCAGCTAATGTAAGATCACAAAAAGGAATAATGAACAATACAGCCCTTCTCATGAGTATAACAATCTTGCTGTATCATGGCTGTGTCACTAATTATATAATGACATCTGTTCCCAACTACCTGGTTTCTTGGCTGGATTCTCAATGGGTCCATTGCTGCTACTGTTCCAGGCATCTCACATTTTAGAGGCCCAAGGCTGAAGGAACATCCTACTTGCTTTCTCGTCTTTCCCCAGTCATTCCCCAAATTTCCATTTGTTGTTTGAGTAACTGTTTTTTAATGCATGAAGTCAGGCAATTAGGGCCTTATCACACTGCTCCTTTATTCTGAATTGTTCTGTTTCAAATCTGCTCTAGTTATACTTGTGAGAGTGTCTAATGGTTCATGCTCTCTATCCTTACCACATTTGCACTTGTTTTCCTCTGCATTAATAGCCCCATCACTGGCTCCTGTATCTCACCTTTCCCTTTATGATTTCTTTTTTTTTAAAAAAAAACAAACCTGTAACTATAGTAGTGCAATAATGCCATGACATCATAATCTGACCATTCCCATATCACATCCACTAATGGATCATTTTCAGAAGAAAGTGCTATGAGACGTTCACACCCTAAATGGTTACAGAATTGCTGTGGGAAAAGGGCATCATTTATGGCCTATTTCCAGTATGAAAAAACCCACAGATTTTCTGTGATGCTTGAGAACAAAAATGTTATGCAATAAGGCTGAGGCAAAGGTGGGACTAATGCATCACTATGGTCTTGTAACGCCAAGGTGTGAGTGATAATGCCCTTCGTCTCACCAAGTTGCAGAAATGAACATGAATTCAGACATAAAGATTTTTTTGCTGCTGTCTATGGAATTGCATATTTTATAGACTGTTGTTCTAATTAATATTTTGAATTTTTTTTGCTTGCATTCTTCAATTAGCTCCAACTATGGGGCATGTTCCAAAATTGCTCCAGGATAACAACTACTTTCAGCTCCCTTTACGTGGCCTCCAGAAGTGTTAGAACATCTATCATGCCCAGTTAGCTTGCCCTTCTACACTTCCCTTAATATCAACAGTTTTCATTTATACCTGTCAGAAGCCAAACTCTCTGAAATGTGTTAAGTGTGTGGCCTGTGGAAAAAAAACCTGTTTCTTAGATTGAAGAAGTATAAGGCTCAGTAGTTTTAAAAAGTATTAGCCTGAAACTATATATCAATCAGTTATATAAACAATATAGGGCCTCATGTTCTGCTTTTCTCTCTCTAATATTTCTTCCAGTTTTCTGCATCATCCTCCATTCCTGGGGCTAAGTTTTCAAACTAATAACTGCTTCCCTTGTACATTTTGTTTCAGTTGTCTCCAGCTCTGGGAGTCAGATTAGATGAGATACAGAAATCAACGATTACATCTCAAACTCTCAGTTTTGTCCCTAAAAAACAGCTGAGGAGGTACAGGGTGCAAGTGGGACAAATTGGATTGGGTCTTTGTTTATTTATTTTATTTATCACGTCAGAAGCAAATTGAGAATATAGTTATAAGGTATAAAAAACCACAAAGTTAAAAACTTGGCATTATGCTAAATTTCCTTTGACCATAAGCTGGTGCCTCTAGTGTCACTGGGAGAAGGTCCTCCACTGTGCATGTGGCAGGGCTCAGACTGCATTGTAGTAAGTGGACTGTGGTTTGCTCTTCTCCACAACCACATGTTGGGGATGCTGCTTTATAGCCTCATTTCTTAAGAGTGGCTCTGCATCTCATGGTACCAGAGCACAGTCTGTTCAGTGCCTTCCAAGTCAATCAGCCTTCTGTGCACCCATGAGAGAGATTCTCATCCAGTATCAGCTACTGATTGAGGTTCTGGGTTTTAGTCTGCCACTTTTGGACTCTCACTTCCTGAGGTGTTCCTGTGAGTATCTCTAGATCTTAGGAAGCTGTTTCTTGATTTAAGACATTGGCATGCTGGCTGATACCTGAACAAAGGATGGGCCGGAGATGTCAATGCCTTGGTCCTTTCATTACTGGTTGCTACTTCCCAGCTGATATCATGTAGTGCAATATTGGCTAAATAGTACAATTTCCCCAGCCATGTTGGCCAGAGACATCCTGTGATAATACAGCATGTCTCATTAAGACCCACATCCACTGTTTTAACATGGTGAGGCGTATTCCATACTGGGCATGCGTATTCAGCAGCAGAGTAGCAAAGTACAAGGGCAGATGTCTTCACTGTATCTGGTTGTGATCCCCAAGTTTTGCCAGTCAGCTTTCGTACAATGTTATTTCTAGCACCCACCTTTTGCTTGATAGTCAAGCAGTGCTTCTTGTAAGTCAGAGCACGGTCCAGAGTGACTCCCAGATATTTTAGTGTGCTGCAATGCTCCAGTAGGATTCCTTCCCAGGTAATCCTCAGAGCTCATGATGCTTGTCTGTTCTTAAGGTGAAAAGCACATGTCTGCATTTTAGATGGAATAGGAATCATCTAATAGGATGGGTCTTCATGAGGCATATAGAGAATATTTGCAAAAATTGTGCCAAGTAGATAGATGATAGAGAGAGAGAGAGAGAGAGAGAGAGAGGGAGGGAGGGAGAGGGAGAGGGAGAGATTTCTAGTCTCTGCAACACATCTTGTTTCTGGAATAAAAAGGAAACAAGCAGCACATTTTTTGTCAATCTTCCTATAATTTTTGTAAAAAGTCTCTCTGCAAAGCTAAAACTTTTCCTTTGTGTAGCAGAACATACACAGCAAGCTTGAAGAACTGGTATAACAACCCACCCAATTATTTCAGTGCTCAAATATCCATTCAACAAATATATTTAACCATGCAATTTGTGTAATGGATGCAATTTACACACACACAAAAGTATTTCTCAGGATTCTCAAAATCTATCTCAAAACACTTTGCTAGGAATACTTTTTTAAATGCATTCATTTGTGCATGAGAATGAAAGAAGAAAGGATATACATGTGGTTGGTTGAGGAGAGTGGTGGCATCTTATCTATTCCAGGAGGCTCAAGAAAAAGCAATCTCTTGCAGCCTTTCCTGGCTTGTTTGTTCTTTCCCATGAATAACTTTTGCCATATTGACCACACTCTGAGGGTGCTTGCTTGGCCATATGTATTTGGGTATTCATCTATGAAGTGTTGATGGGTATGCTCAAACATATGATGTTGTTTCTGTTTACACAAGGCTAAATTACAGATGTCATTAAATGCATAGCAGGAAGCTGGACCTCTTTCTGTTTCCTACTGTAAAATAAATGCTCTGAACCATGTTACATGAGTTGAAGAGCTTAAACTTTCCCCTTCAGTTCCTCTCCCAAATTACCTTCTCTCCCATGCAGGACATAAATACTGTAAATGGACCAGATCCAATCCAATTTTGGAAGCCAAGTAGGATTAATTTCAGTTTGTTGAAACTATTTTTTTATTATTGCAAACACAAGTAGAACAATACAAATCTCAGTAACAAACAAATAATGATATTCTACTTACATTTTCTCTCAATTTGATATGTCTTATTTTCTTAGCTCCAGTTAGTAATTCGATGGTGGATCACCAATGAATACCAGGTGCAGCATGTTATATTTAAGAGGAAGGAACTGTAAGAAGTTCATTAAAGTTGAGCTACATGCTTCACATTAAACTACTATTGGTTGTTTAGCTGCCTTTCATGGTAGAAATAAAACAAAACAACAATAATGCAATTAAAAGATTTAAAATTATAACATGATTTAGATTGGTGAAAAATGTCCCTTGCTTTTTTACTAGATGAAGAATTATAGAAACGGTTGATCTCTTTTTATATATGTCCATCATACTCCACAGGGATCGTGCGTGTACATCTCTGTCTACTTCTTTCCTTCCTACACTAAATATATTTCTATTTTATCCAGATTCATGTAACAATCTCCAAATCAGCTCAGGAGAAGATGCGTCAAAAGCAGCTGAAAGAGATAGAGCTTTTGCGCAAAGAAAGAGAAAAGGAGAAAGAGAGAGAAAAGGAAAGATCCTTGTTGTTCCAAGAACAACTACAGAAAATGGCTCACAAAGGTATATGAGTGCTTGAGAGTGTGAGATGTGGTTGGCTTTATAGATTTTGCATCAGGGAACACATTTGATAAAGATCTTAGGCCATATAGCCTTCCAATGGCTGCCAATAAGAATATTGTTGGAGTTCAGCCTGAAATTGTGTTTCAGGATCGAGGTGCTTTGGATGTGGGAAGTGATGCCAAGTCAAAATTAGCATTAGTCAAAACAGGCAAACTAAACAGTGGCTTCAGTGGTCTGCCAGGATTCGACAGAAAAAGATAAGGGAATCTCAATTAAAGTAAAACCAATTTCTGAGTGTTGGGAATAGCTTAACAAGGGGATAAAAGTTCCAAGTATAGGAAATTATGGGATTTATGCCTTTATTGATTTTTACTGTTTATGAAATTTTATGTATGTTATATGCTTTTAGCTGTTTTTATATTATTGTGGCATCGAATTGTGCCTTTTTGTAAACTGCCCTGAGTCACCCTCGGGCTGAGAAGGGCGGTATAGAAATAGAGTAAATAATATAAATAAATAAATATAGTCAGATGAAGCATCGTTTGGGATCAAGTGTAGTTCTCGTCCTTGTTTCATGAAAGCCTTGCTTGGAAGATTCTTGTCTAAGTATTTCTTGTTTCATGGTTTGGATTCTTGGATTGTATGAATGCATACTCATGCCTTGGATTAATGTTTCCTGGTTTTCTGAATTATATTAGAGAAGTGTGGACTTTGTTTTTATGGACTTTGCTGAACTTTACCCTGGACTATTTTTGCTCCTGCTTATCTTCTTACCTAATTGGATTTACCTATTTCTTTAAAGTGCTTTTTTACTTGCTGCTTTTTAATTATCTTCAATAAAAGGATTGTTTTCCAATCAACCTATGTGCTGTTTACAGTCAGAGGGTTTTTCCTGTCCTGGGGTGCAACAGATATCATATAATAGAAAAGGTGACCAGGACAGGTGTGCCTGTGGCATATGATGCGACGAAAGGCATTCAGCCCAGCTTACCATTCACCTAAACAGTTTGAAAACAGCCGTGAGTAGAGAAATTAGGCACTGTTTAAGCAGGGAGGTATTTTACGGCACCATTAAAAAAATACCAGAAAATGCTGGTGATCAAAGGAAGGAGGATGTTTGTGATCAAGGCTCTTTGTCATAAAGGATGGAGTGACAGCACCCCCCCTCCCCCGTGGTGGAAATCAAGCACAACCTCTAGGATACCGAAGCTGTGTAAAATGTCGACATAATACCTCTATCTGTTGTCTGTCCTGTCTGTTTAACAGCACTGAACATTTGTGTTCTGTGATCCACCCTGAGTCCTCTTTGGGGTGAGAAGGGTGGAATATAAATGCTGTAAATAAATAAATAAATTCATCAATAAGACTTCTATCCCCCCAATGAGATTTTCCTTCACTTTCCAACTTTCTGACATTACAGTTTTAAAACATTTAAAACCAGAGTTGTAGGGTTGTCTATTAAAAGGAATCAGCCTAAACTGGCTTATTTTTTGGAACTTTTGTGGATTCTTGCATGTCTAAGAGTTGGACTTTAGATGGCATTTGCAATTCCTTCTTATTCTATGATTGTAGCTCCAGAATGTTGCTGAATCCCTGTTAATCAAGAATACATCTATTTTGTTATAGCAACCATATTTTCCACTATGGCCAGGAGGGAATGTTTTGTACTTAGTCATGTAGTAATATCAATCCCCCATTTTAAACTGCTGCACACACGCTTGAGGAATGATGCTTTCAGGGGAAGAAGAAGGTGTTAGAATAGGAATGCTTATTAAGAATGGAGGGAGGGGGTCGCGAAGGGCAGCGCAACCCAAGTGATCTGATTGCAACTGACGTGCAATGATTGTGCCGCAGGAGAGACCCCAAGAAGGTTTGCTGCAACAGCAGCTGAGGAAGTTGCAAGTCAGCACTCTGCCGGAACAAGGCTATGGTGCAAGGTCACATACTTTCTTGCTTTAATACTGGTGGGAAAAGGGGAGATGTCAGTTTTTGAACTGTACATATACTATAGGCTTTTAAAAAACCCATATAATTTGGACTGCCTCTTTTTGCACAGTGTGGTCACATGGCATTTTTGCTTAGATGAGTCCCATAGGAACAAGAGTAACATCAGGTGGATTAAATTTGTAATATTAGCTAGATTAAATGATTTATACTAAGAAGGGGTGGAAATCATGTAGCCCCCAAGATGCTGTTGGCTTGCATTTCCAAGCATTCCTGACTATTTGCTATGCTGGCTAGCACAGATGGGAGTTGCAGCCTGGAGATCTGTGTGTTTTTCATCAGAATCTAAAATAGTGGTTCTCAATCTGTGGGTCCCCAGGTGTTTTGCCTACAACTCCCAGAAATCCCAGCTAGTTTACCAGCTGTTAGGATTTCTGGGAGTTGAAGGCCAAAATATCTGGGGACTCACAGGTTGAGAACCACTGATCTAAAACCATAGCTTGGATCTTATCTTATATAATTTTAACCGTCTTTGATTGATGAAGAAAGCAGTAAAGCTTCAGAAGCTTGTGTGATTTTTTTCTGCATTTTGTTTGGCAGATTAAGGTATTGTGGATTTTGTTGTATGGTTTGATCTCCCCATATCCACGGGAACAATATCTGTAGTTTCATTTATCCACTTCCAACAAAACATGCCCCCCCCCCAGGCATTTTCTAAGATTTCCAGTTCAACGCGATGGTATTACTGAGTCAGAAATCATTCATTTCAATAGAGTTCACTGTTATCCAGTTGAAAGCTGGGAATGCATCCCCCACAAATACAAAAGTTTGTGAGGGTTGGTAAATGTGAATAATCAGAATAAGCAGAAGCTTTACCACAATATTTAAACGAAGATATACCCTGAAGTATAATAACATGTTACTCAGGCTTGTGTAACAAGTAACAGTATATTTACTTTTGTTCAAAAGTTCAAACAGAGTAACAGTATAATATCAGTCTCTTTGAATTCAGGCAGAGAACAGAGAGAATAAAATGGTCCTTTTAAATAGTCTTTAAAATATGCCTCATGCCATAAAATGATCAGTCTTCAAGATGGTAGCCAACAATATCTTCTTTACTGTCCAAAGTAAGAAATGGCAGTTAGAACCGTTGGTCTCAGCAGCTAGCCAGAGGCAGCAGCGAATCAGAACTCTGGCTCCTAGCGTGCTCAGTCAATCAGCTGCTGACACATGTCTCTCCAGTTAATCCACCATATCATGGCGTCCTTTTTCAAATCTTCACAAAGTTGTAGTCTGTTTTGCTACATGGCCATCCAGGAATATGTAGCTCGGATATATTGACTCAATGGATTTGGGATCCCCAGAATTCCCAAGCCAGATATTTGGAAGATTCTGGTAGTTTTAACATAAAAACAACGAATCCTATCTCTGAAATCAATCAAAACATTTTGGATGGATAAACCAGACTGCTCTGGATTAATAAGAGAACTTTTTTTTTGTACTTTCTGAAATGGAAAGGATGAATAGGGGGCATCTTCAAAGAGACTTTCCCCTTTAATAATCACACAGACCTCTTCAAAGATTAGACCTGCTGTGATGCATGCATGCATAATCTAAAAGAACACTAGATTTTCCTCCTTCAGAGCTAGTGTTTTTATTCATATGCAAATATAATCAGATTTAATCAACTTCCGAATCAATGAATGAATGCAGATACTATTAATCTGTCCTGACTTCTGTTAATCAGGTTCACACTACTGAGATTTGGGCCTTATCAAACTAATTCTTTATGCTGTGTTATTCTGTTTGAAATTTGCTCCAGCCA